CAACCTGCTCAGATCAATAATAGCCGCCTTTCTGGGATCAGCCTCATTCGTCAGGAGACTCTGGGCCACCCAAGGCCCCTTCCCTGCCCTTAAGGGTGACAGAGGAGAAAGTGTGGGGACCCCTTCAAAGATTCAAGTTTCCCTTCCTGATTTTGTAGAGGAGTCATCTGAGGCCAAAAAAGTCAGGAACCTCAATTAATTAATTCACCATATAGTTAATCAAGTGTCAATTCTTCTAGGTCTTGGAGGCACAGCTGTGAAGGAGGAAGATGTGATCCTTGTCTTCTTGGGGGACAGAGGTAAACAATGAACACGCAAGCCAGAAAGTTTAAGGTCGGGCTATAAGCCTCTTTCGTACGTGGTCAAGGATGGTGACACTGGAGCAGGGCCTGAAGGAAGTGGGGTGACCCTTTGAAGTTCGGGGGAAGGACATCCCAGGAGGAGGAACCTGCAAGTGCAAAGACCATGATGTGGGATCAAACTCGAAGAGCGAGGAGCAGAGGGGAATTGGCAGAGTTTCAGCAGTGAAGAGGAACGGGGTGGAAGATGAGGCCGGGGGACAGCAGAAGGCCCGCAAGGGGGCTGAGTACCTTTCTGAGCACAAAGGGAAAGAAGAGCTTGTGCGAGAGAATATCTTGTGAGGGACCTCACAGGAAGTCTAAGAATTCTGAAACAGAACCAGCTCTCCTGAAGCCCCAGATGGGGGCTCTCTCCCCCCACCTCATCTGGGCTCTGTTTTGCGGGAACGTTAGACAAACTACAAGGTGCTCTGACACCGACTGATATCCAAACATTTGGAGTTTGCAGTTATTGTCTGCAAGGTCCAGGGGATGAGAGATCCAGAGCCCCCAGGATGTCTTCTGGATATGAACAGGAGTCTTTGGTTTCCATACTGGCTGATTAAACGTGACCGTTTTTTTCCAAAAACATCCATTTTCCCCCTGGGAACCTCACAGCAGGCCTGGGAAGCCAGAGTCCTGGATGAACTTTTGATTTTGACAAATGTAGAAGCCAAAAGCCAGGGCAGGTGCAGAGGTGCGCTAAGACCCCAGGACTAGCCTTGAACAAAGTCTCCCAACCCTGCCTATCCTTCTAGATGCACACCCAGTTAAGCCCAGCCCATAATCACACTCCCAGGGACTTCTGGCAAGACTGGAGTGGTTGGTCTCTTCCAAAACACCCATGAGATAAGAAACAGCTTCCACCCTCATTTCTTCCTCCATGCCTCCCATGTCCATTCGATCTTCCTTTCATTCTTTTTTCCAATGCTGTTATTCTCCCCTTGATTTATTAATAAAGCCATTATTAAACTCCTGCTGTAGGATAAGCAGTGGGAAACCAATACACAGAAACATAAAAAGGCTGGGGAAGAGAGAGGAAAGTTCAGGGTCCAAAGAACACAGAGACAGGAAGTCAAATTTCAAATGAAATGAGGTTCTGTTCATTCCAGGCATTGTTCCTGTGGTGCTTGATTAGCCTGGCCTTCCCTGCATTCAAACTCAACTGTATGGTAGCCTCCTAAGGGCAAGTTACCAGTTCCTCTTTGGTGCAGGGCCTAGCAGAATCCCTTGCATATGCTGACCATCCAAGCTGAGCACATACAAACTGGGACCACATTCCCAGGTATTATACCAGCTCCACCCAGTACCAGCTGTGTCTTAACCTCTTTGAGCAAGTGTCTTCATCTGCAAAATGGGTCTAAGTATAGTCTCTCCATGGGTTCCTGTAGGATTCAGCACTGTGTGGTGAGGCTGCCTGAACAGAGGACAATATGAACCAGGGTCAACTTGCTATCTGGTTGCTGTGGTTCCCTGGGCAATCCACACCCTCTCCTTGAGTTTCAGGTTCCCCTTTTGGATGTGATCATAATACAAAAATATCTAAGTGAGACCAGTGGCCAGATAAAAAGGGCAAGCTCCAGCCTCTCACAAGGCTTGGGAAAATGGTGGGAGACAGGAGAGATATAGGGCAGCCTCTTGTTTAGCTGGTCCTGGACCACCAGGGCTCTCTGATGGCAAGATGAACAAGATCCGAGAGCCAGCTCAGCAGAGTGTTGAGGGGAGGTGAGCAGTGCTGGCGAGGGGGCTTAGTAGGGCATTAACCATGCTGACAAGTCCAGGTGGTTGTGATAAGACAGGAATGGAGCCATTCTCTGGCCATGAAATATGGCCCCCAGCCAATGTAAATGTCTTGGAAGAATTAATGCACAGAACATTGATGTGTAGTTTATCTGCCAGGTGGAGGCATGTGTGGGAGAAACGCAGGGTCTGTGAATGGATTCCCAACAACCTCCAAGTTCCCAGTTAACTGAGGGCATGTCTTCTATTCCATAAAGAAAAACCTATTTGTGCAGTGAAGCCCAAGGGAAAAGAACTTTTTTATCCTTATACAGCTCTGCGGGGAAGACATGGGGATGGGAGCCACAGTGTACTTCACCTCTAATGAGAAATTCAAGAAAGAAGGGATCTTAGGGTTCCTGCAGCCTGACCTGGACACAGAAAGCAATGGCTCACGTCCTCAGCAGTCTTCAGACACCTGAAGACAGACCCTTCCCAGTCCTGGCCTTTCCCTATTTCTTTATCAAGAATTTAGTGAAAAGGGAGAAGGAGGATAGAAAGATTTTGGAGGCTGCATACTCTTGATAAATTGAAGTCTTCAGTTAAAAAAGGACTAGAGGGTAGGTAATAAAATAATTAGCCCCAGAATTTGGGATCAGGTCTGTAACAGCCCCTTTTGAGCTGATGATGGCTAAACCCTTAAACTTCAGTGTTCTCCTTAAAAAGTAAACCTCTGTGTGTCTGTCTATCTCTCTCTATCTACTATCTATCTACTATTCTATCTTTTCTGTCTACCACCATGAAGAGTATTGTGATATTAGAATAAAGAAACAAGCTATGATGTATTCATACAATGAAATACTAATCAACAATAAAAAGGAATGAACTATTGACACATTAAGCAATGTGGAAAAAATCACAAAAGTACTTTGTAAAATGAAGGAAGCTAAACATATACTATATGATTCCATTCTATAACATTCTGGAAAACATAAAACTGTTATACAGAAATTGAACCAGTCATTACTATAAGCTGAGACTAGAGGTAGTGGATTGACTGCAACATGGTATGAATGAATTTGGGAGAAAGTGAAAAATGTATCTTGACAGTGTTGTTAGTTACACTACTGTATCCATTTTGTCTAACTGCATGTCAAATTGTACAACTAAAAAAATTTAGTACAGGAATAAAATATCTCAATAAACATGATTTTTAAAAAGCTGTGAGGATTTGGTAAATATCTGATACTTGCCTCATGTGTGTTTTCTGCCCCACAGAAGTAATAAAATAGGTGGAGCTGGGTTGCCATACCCAGCCCAGATGGTAGGTGTCACTGCATGCCACTTCCCAGTCTAACAATGCCATTCATTCACACTTTCAGTGTCAGAAAACCAAAGTCTATGTTCATATTGTAATTTTTAAATATTCTGTTGAAAGTAAGGGCTATTTTCAAGCCTCTGACAAACTCACTGTAGGTGGTCCTGCACCCAGCCAAGTGAATAATAAGGTCTTTGCCCCATTTCATACCCAAACAGTTCAGGTAAGACATAAGATGGCACCGGAATTCATGTGACCTTTGAAGTCCTTCTGTTGCTGCCCTCAGTGGACAAGGCTGAAATGTTTCTTGAAATTTTAGACTACATTCCTTGGGATATTGAGCTCTTGCCAGGGCCAGCCCTGAGGGTAGCAGCAAACTTTGAGGTTAGGTGGACATGCTCTTCCCCACCCCCTCATGACTGTGCCTCTTCCAATAACAATATTTTCTCTGCTCCCTCTGAAGAGAAAGTCATGTGTTAAATGGAAGATTTGCTTGAGTGAGTCACTGGGAACCTCAGCAAAATCATATTAAGGAAGTAATATTTATTATATCCATAAAGCAACCCGCACAGACGATGTGTAGGGGCCAGATGGGCGGCCCAGATGTGCAGGGAGCCAAATCAAGTCTGTCAAAAGGGGGGCCTGGGCCTATGAGTTAAAGCCCTTCAACCAGGGAGGAATTGGAGATGGATTAGCTCAGCAGTTGGACCCTCTGACAGTCTCAAAGGTGGGGGCTCTTAGAGGAAAATGAGGTTAGGTGCTTTTTTGCAATGGCAGACTCCTGGGATAGTCCAGGAGAATGCAGAGAGGAAACTGCACCATCAAATATGTAAGAGATCAGATTTGGCAGGCCATGCATAAGGGTCTGAGAGGGGTGAGGAGAAGGGGAGAGAGGAAAGAAAGGAGACACAGAAGAAGTTGGGGACAGCAATCCCAGTCATTGTTCAAAGATGCTTAGTCAGTTGGCCAAGAAAGCGTTGAAATCCAATTCACTTTCTACTTCAAAATGGTATATAGAACCAACAGGAATTGATTCTCTACAGTGGATAAGCCTTTTACTAATTTACACAGAGGTGTCCAATGGGTTAACCACAATCATAGATGAAAGGAAATAGAGGAGGGGATGAGCCTTCTGCTCTATTCCTTTCTAGATTGTCTACCCCAAGATTAACATTCTTCTCTCCTGCTGCCTTCTTGGTCTATGTTAATCCCACCTTACACTACAAAGCCCAGTTCAACCAGCACCAACTCCAGGAAGCCTTCCTGGATATCTCCCAAAAGGAACTCCTGATTCTTCTTGAGCAACCAGACGAGAAACCTGAAGTTTCATCTACAAGCCAAGTTGACCTTGAACTCAGATGAGATGGCTTCATTGTGATTGGTGCCAAGGCTTTTGGATGACATCCTTCTCCCATCCACATCTCTTTGGGCTAAGATTTTAGTCTAATTCCTCTGGATTCTTCTCTATAGTTGTTGGTGCAAAGAAAGCTCTCCTTTGGTTACTCTTTAAATCCTTGTTGTGGATGAAAATCATAATGTTGGTAATTCAGACACTGTCAGGCAAGGGAGCAGGAAAATTGTAAACTGTGTCCTGAAAAAGGTAAACATCAGTTATTCTTGCTTACCCAACACCTGTCTTCTGGAAACAGAGTGCTCATATCCTTTTAGGAATACACTGTTCCTCCATTCCCAGCCCGTGGGACTCTACTTGCACTGGTACTTCTCCCTGACCCCAGAGATGAGTCCTGCTCTTCCAGGTCACAATGATTGTCTTGGTGACGTGCACAGGACCCCAGGCAGCCAATGAGAGCTGGTCACTCTGACGAGTTTAGGCGTGAGCACTGCTGTCCTGTGATGTTTTGCAGCAATTCTCAGAAAAGAAACCCCTCGGAAATGGGGTCAAATAATTCAAATGGAATTGCAGCTGTGATGGCCATCTTACTCTCACAGAGAGGAGTTTTGTCTCAAGTAAGGAGTCATTTCTGAAGAGGATAAGCTGAGCCTGAAGATGAAAAGATAAATATCCTGACATCATCTGAGCACCTATAATCAGCCCTACTCAGAGCTTTTAGCCTTTTTTTTTTTCATATAAACCAATATGTTCCCTATCTAGATAAAGATAGTTTCATTTAGATTCCTGGCATTTGTCACTAAGAGCCCTGATCAATAAACAAAGAATTCCAGATCTAGTTCTTTGTTAATTATCTCTAAATGCAGAGAAATTGGGTTTTGAACTAAGAGCAGCAAGTAGACCTGAGATTTTTCTGTAGTTCTTACAGTAAGCAGGTAGATATCCTAGCACACACATCTCCCCTTATCAAACCTAGTTTTCTCTCACATAAAATTTAAAAATCTTTGTTTTGTTATACAAATGTGTAGCCAAATGTAACAAAATATGTTCTTTAAATTTGGAGCAGTAGGGCCTCCCTGGTAGCGCAAGGGGTTAAGTCTCAGCACTATGAATCTATCACCAGCCACTGCAGCACTAGTTCCATCCTGGCCATGGAGGTGACCCACATAGCACAGCAGACCTCTCCTGTCTCACCTGCTGCTCCCCTTTGGGTTCAGCAGTGTATTTCAGTAGATCTGCCTGTTCTGCTCCCCACTCTGTCTCTGGTGAATCCTCTCACCCCCACACCTCTGGCCTACACCCCAACTCTTCTATGCATAAATAAATGAAATAAATCTTTTAAAAAATAAATAATAAATCTGGGGCAGTGAGTACAGTGAGTCCTTTAGTAGTTATATGTTCACAGTGACATGGACACATCTCATGCCTTCAACTACTCCCTGTAGTTCCTGGACTACCTCCCCTGTGAGTACTGCAGTCTCCCCCATCCTGTGGGAGGTAAGTCTTTAAGAAATGGGTGTCCATAGTCACATAAAGCTCCTGCACATTGGCACAGGACAGGCACTGACTCATGTCCCAGGAGAGCAGCTCACTGGCATGCAAAGGCTGAAGAATCCAATCATTTCTCTGACTTCCAGTACAATCGAGATCATTATCTTATATCTTCCAAGCCAGAGACTGTTGTAGATGCTTTCTGTGTATCTCCACCTTTAATCTCCATACTAGCCTTATACTTTAAATCACAGTATTATCTCCATTTTATAGAAGAGAAAACCCAGGTTCTAAGAGGCTGAGACCCAGACCTAAACTCAAGCCCTCAACTAGGATTTGAATTCAGGTTTGAGGGATTCTGGAGCTCAAATACTAGCACAAACTAGAAGTATGTGTGCAAAGAGCTCAGATACAGTCCAACACACCATTCACACACTAAATAGATACAAACAAGTTACTGTCCAATAAAATGTTCTGCCATGCCGAGAATATTTTGGCGCTGTCCTGCCCAGTACAGTCTCCACATCTGGCTCTTAAGTCTGAGGCACTGAGTTTTCAATTTTATTTAATTATAATTAATTTAATTTTAAGGAGCTGCATGCCACTGGTGGCTAGCATTCTGGAGAGCATGAAACTAGATAATCTGCTCCCTGAAGGGAAGATGGAATATGTTCACAAAACAAAGAGATGTGGAGTCAAGCTGACCTGTGCTCAAACCCCAGTTGACTACTCACAGGCATTTTGCCCTTAAATAAACAATTTCAATTTATAGTGACAAAAACCCCTACTTCATAGAGTAGTCATGACATTCGCTCACATTTTCATTCAACAATATTGAGTATCTCCCACACCCAGGACCCTGGGTACTTCCCTTTTTTAGAGAAAGAGATTGATAATTGATAAGCAGGATAAAGAGGAACCCAGCCCTTGAGAAATGCTCAATCCTGTGATGCCTGTCAGTTATTGTAAATAATATACAGGAAGCCGGAAGCACAGGGCCTGGCACACAGCACACGCCGGAGAAATGAAAGCTTATTTCAAGAAGCAAACATCTTAAACTTATACAATATGTCAATTTTATCTCAATAAAGCTGGGAGGGAAAAACTTTAAAAAAAAAAAAAAAAAGGAAAAAGCAGCAGCAGACGTCTTCTAGAAGAGACTTGGCAATGTCTCCAGAGCATTTTGTGTTAACTCGAGAAAGTTGGGAGGGTTATGCAAATGGGCCTGTTGAATAAAGAATAGTCCTAGGTAAAATCATTATGCAGAACGGTTTCCCCTCTGCATAAGGTGGCAAAAATTATCTCCCCGGTGCCAATTATGGGCTTGTTAGCACTGACATTCTCAGAGTCATTACACCGAATGGGTGCCGTTTATGTAAGATCTACACTGGGTTCTATTGTAATTTTTTCTCTGTTTACAACTCGGTATAATAAATGTCATTTTTTCAAATGTTAAAGTATTTGGTATTTAATCTAACATTAAGGCTTGGGATATGTTTGCCCCTAAAAGGCACCCTCAGCTGTCACTAAATGGAATGCATATCCAGGGGTGCTTGATGAGGGTGTGAGTCAAGAGACAAGAACTCTCCTTCTGACTGCCCTTGAACGTGGCTCTCCTGCCTTCGAGGCCTTGGCCAGGCAAAGTAATGTCTAAAGTCCTTTTACAGGGCCTCCCTGGTGGCACAAAGTGTTAAGCACAATGCTGTGAAACTATCTGCAGCCTCTGCAGCGTGAGTTCCATCCTGGTTAGCCAGGGAGCTACCCACAAGGCACAGCGGACCTCTCCTGTCTTGCCTGCTACTCCCCTCAGCACTGTATTTCAGTAGATCTACCTGTTCTGTTCCCCACTCTGTCTCTGGTGAATCCTCTCACCCTGCCCCCATGCCTCTGGCCTTTACCCCAGTTCTTGTATGCATAAATGAGTAAATCTTTTAAAAAAATACAAATGGGGCAAGATGGAAAGCACAGAGATAATTTAGAGAAAGAGATTGATAATTGACATAATAAACAATGGGAAAATGTTGAATCATTGAATGAGTGATATTGAAAAAATTAAACCACTATATAGGGGGAAAAATCAATGTGGAGTCCTACCTCACACCATATGTGAAAATAAAGTCCAAATAGACTCAATACATAAACATGAAAATCAAAAAATAGAATGGAAACAGAAGAAAACGTAGAATACTTTTGTGACCTTCAATAGTGGGGGGGATAGGATTTCTTGAAAACATCCAAATATTAGAGATTATGACAAGTGGCAAAGGATGGAATTCATTCCATCAAAATTAAAGTTATCTGTCCATGTGTACCACAAAGTTAGCACAAGGCTAATGGAGTGAAAAGATATTTGCAAAAAATAGCTAGCTTCAAGTCACAGAGATCTATAACTCAAAAAAAAATCTTAGAAAAATCCAATAAATAAAGTGGTCAAACTATATTAAATAATTCACAGAAAGAGGAAGAAAATCTCCTAAGTATATAAAGATGTATCCAACATTACCCATTGAATTGATGGAGCTGGAAGGGATCATGCTCAGTGAAATAAGTCAGAAGGAAAGAGAAAAATATCGGATGGTTTCATTTATAGGAGGAACATAGGGAAAACAAAGGATCAGGAAAAAATAGAAAAATCTAGCAGGCAAACTATAAATCAGAGACATTTAGCTGGGGAGGAGAGAGGGATCAAAGCAGGGGATGGGAGAGCACACAGACTGGTGACAGTTCATGGGTGTCTCAGGGATGGTAATTTTGTGGGGATTATACCTGAGAGGAGAGTGAACAACGATATAAAATGTATATAAATTTTTAAAAAAGGAAAAAATTACCAGTTGAGTGACATGCACATTAAAATAAACATGAAGTAGCACATTATTCCCATTTGACTGGCAAAAGTCAAAGAGAAAAATAATAGCATGTTTTGGTAAAAATGTGTAAGAGGAATTCTCACACACAGGTGGAGAGTGTGAGCAATGCCGCTGTCTGAGAGCTGTCTGGCTAGACTTAGTGGAATTAAGTGTGCAGAGACCCAGAAGCTCAGCAAACCCAGTCTTGGTCATATAACCTGAAGAAATTCCTATTCCAGATCACGAGAAGATACGCACAAGGGTGCTCATTGCATTCCTGTTAGGCTGACACAAAGCTGCAGTGTTCCCTCCCCCTAGAAGCAGGTGAGCCATATGTGGTGGGAGACAAAACTAGGAAATATTCTGCAACTATCAGAAGAAACGAGTCAGATCTACATGCAACAGCATGGGCAGATCTCAAAAACAATGCTGAGCAAGAAGAGAAAGAGCCAGAAAGAGAGTCAGAAACCATTTGGTCATTTACAAAAACACACACTTTCTTCTTTTCAAAGATGCAAATATATAGGGACTGGGGGTTGGAGGAAAAACAAACTAGGATGGGTGTCAGTGTGCGCAAGAGGAGGGGCATTGGGATGGGAGATGGAGGGGGGCAATTTAAAACAAGAATCTTTGCTCCCTGAAAATATCATGGTATCCATTTGCTAGGCTCCCCAGCACTACACTAAGAGAGACAATGTAGAGATAAGACAGAGATTGGGTACACCAGTCTCCAATGTATATGTCCCTTAATATAGATCATTCAACCCTCATTTTCAACACCCTTTGGAGCTGGGCAGGTCAGACTCATGCTTGTTTCTCTGGGGTGAAAACCACATCCGATGCATGACTGTGCAGCCAGTCAAGAGGGGTGGTTAACAGAAGGTTGTTCATCTGTTGTTCCAAGTACAAAGCACACTGTGACCCCTGTAGTGATAAAAGGAAGATGTTTATCTTGACTCCTGACATCAACGTTATGAAGGACCAGCCTTTTCCTCTCTCTCTTCTACCTTGACATCACCATCTAAATAGAATCCACCAAGGTAAATTCCAATTTCTAGTGCTCAAGAGGAA